AAGAAAGAAAGAAAGAAAGAAAGAAAGAAAGGAAGAAAGGAAGGAAGGAAAGAAAGAAAAGAAAGAAAGGCAAATGAACTAGTTTCTTTAAGTTAATGGCACACAGAAAAGAAAACCCTAGGAAATGAAAGTGGACTGTAATCCCAGAATTTGGGAGGTAGAGGCAGGAAGATCAGGAGCTCAGGGCCAGCCTTGGCTCCATAGAGCATTCAAGGCCAGCCTGGGCTACAGGAGACTGTGTTGCAAAAATAAACAAAGAAATAAATAAACACACACAAAAATAAATATTCTCCCAAGCAAACAAAAGAACCATAATACCTAAGGGCTGGGAACATTGCTTACTGGCAGTTTGCCTAGAATCCCCAGTAAGGGGCTGGGAGTGTGGCTCAGTGGCAGAGCCTCTGCCTAGAATCCCCCAGTGAGGGGCTGGGGTGTGGCTCAGTGGTAGAGCCTCTGCCTAGAATCCCCCAGTGAGGGGCTGGGGTGTGGCTCAGTGGTAGAGCACCTGCCTAGAATCCCCCAGTGAGGGGCTGGGGTGTGGCTCAGTGGTAGACCCTTTGCATAGTGTGCATGATACTGTGGTTCTATCCCCAGCACTGAAGAGAAAGGACAGAAAAACTTTTAAGATCTGGCTGCACAAAATCAGCTTCCCATTAAAAGTGGGATGTGGCAATTCTCCTTTGAGGAGCCTGTGCCCACACAGGTACATCTTTCTGCAACTTTTCCTTCAAGAAGCCACACCCATGCTCATGGGTGCATCTTCCTTCCTTCTGAGTGTCTCTCCTTCTCTTAACCCTCCTGCTTAAGATTATATTAAAGTATCTTTAGTAAACCCCAACTCTTGTTCATAAACTGAAGAAAATAAAATGGGCTGTAAGCAGCAGCCTTGCCTAGCCTCGGGAAATTACTCTTACCATCTGTTTGCCTCTGTGGGGTTGAACTTTGGTCCTTATTCTAGGAGAATCATGGATGCTGGGAATCCAAACCCTTAACCTACAGAACCTCACACCCAGTTTGAAGTGTCAACTTGATCAGGGCCGGGTGCCCCTTGTTGGTCTTGTGTGATGATTTACCCCCTTGCCTAGACACACAGTAGATGCTCATTTAATTTTTGCTGTGTTAACAAGGAGAAAAGAAGCAAGACTTTCAGAACCACAGAACCCTATGAAGGAAAACTCTTTGTTTCTTAGGACATCCTCACTGCTCAGATGGGGAAACTGAGGCCCAGTAAAGAGTAAGGTTCCACAAAACCTCCCCCATAAACCTAAACCAAAAAAAGGACTGGGGATGTAGCTTAGTTGGTAGAGTGCTTGCCTCACATGCACAAAGCCCTGGGTCCCATTCTCAACACTGTGTACACTTGGTGTGGCGTTGCACACCTGTAATCTCAGCACTGGGAGGAAGAGGAGGCAGGACAATTACTGTGAGTTCCAGGTCATCCTTGGCAATATAGGAAGTTTGAAGCCAGCCTGAGCTACATGAGATCCTCTTTCAGAAATAACAGAAACAGAGGCTGGAGAGATGGCTCAGTAGTTAAGAGCACTGGCTGCTCTTGCAGAGGACCCGGGTTCAGTTCCCAGTACCCACATGGAAGCTAACAACTATCTGTAACTCCAGTTCCAGGGAATCTGATGCCCTTTTCTGGCCTCCAAGGGCACTGTATGCACATGGAGTACTTATATACATGCAGGCAGAACACTCATACAAAATAAATAAATTAAAAAAAAAAAAAACACAACCATATGTGGTAACACACATTTTCAATCCCATCACTTGAGGGGCAGAGGCAGGTGGATTTCTGTGAGTTTGAGGCCAGGCTGGTATACACGGTGAATTCCAGGTCAGCTAGGGCTACACAGTGAGACCTTCTCTTAAAACAAAACAAACAAAACAAAATCTGGGGCTGGAGAGATGGCTCAGTGGTTAAGAGCACTGGCTGCTCTTGCAGAGGACCCAAGTTCAGTTCTTGGCACCCACATGGAGGTTAACAACCGATCAACCTAACTCCAGTTACAGGGGTTCTGATGCCCTCTTCTGACCTCTGTGAACATTATACAACATAGGTGCACTTAAACACATGCAGGCAGGGGCTGGAGAGATGGCTTGCAGTTAAGAACACTGACTGTTCTTGCAGAAGACCTGGGTTTGAATTCCAGCACCCATATGGCAGCTAACAACTGTCTGTAACTCCAGTTCCAGGGGATCCGACAGTCTCTTCTGTTCTCCTCAGGCATTGAACGACATGGGTGCACTTACCTACATGCAGGCATAACACTCATACACGTAAAATAAAAATAATAAGTAAAATATTTTTAAAAGAACACATGCAGGCAATACACTCATACACATAATAAATAAAATTTTTAAAAAATCTGCCCCTCCACAACAAAACAAAAACTAATGAAACAAAACACAAAGTAGTGTGGTTAGATCACAGCATTCTGAATCCTGCCTCCAATCCCACTGACTTGCCTGTGTCTCCCACCTCCCCAGAGAAACTCACTCGTGGCTGACAGCAGGGGTAGCTGAACAGGTGAACTTTGCCAAAGTCATCAGCTGAAGCCAGCAATTTCCTGTCATGGGAGCGCGCAACGGCGTTGATATCAGTGCCATCTGCCCCCTCTGACCAGATCCCTATGGGCGAGAAGGCAGAATGAGAGGTAAGATCTTCCAGGGAGCTGGGCTGGGGGTACATGTCTGCAAACCCAACTACTGGGGAGGCTGAGGTAGAAGGGCCAAAATATTCAAGGCCTCTTTGGATAATTTATTGAGGCTAGTCTCAAAAGTTAAAAAAAAAAAAAAAGGCTGGAGGTGTGGCTCAGTGGTAGAGCACCTGCCTAGAATCCCCCAGTGAGGGGCTGGGGGCATGGTTCAGTGGTAGAACACCAGCCTAGAATCCCCCAGTGAGGGGCTAGGGGCATGGTTCAGTGGTAGAGCGCCTGCCTAGAATGCCCCAGTGAGGGGCTGGGGGTGTGTCTTGATTCTCCAGATTTCACCTCAAATGTCTCTCCCTCCAGAAAGCCTTGCTGACTTCTTCCCAGACTTGGTGCAATACCCCCTTTCCAGAGCTCTTTCCCTATTCCAGCCCTTCTTACTGTGGGTCTCCACTGTCTGGGATGAGTCTGTCTCCCTCACTCAATTATGTGCCCCAGAAGAGCAGAGCTGGAAGTATTATGGTCTGACTAGTGTTCCAGCACTGCACAGGCCTGTGAGAGCTCCTGAAGCTTGTGAGGATGGCCTGGGGACTCACTGAGCAGGTGGCTGGACCACTGGCAAGTCCTTAGGTGCCACCACACTTTTGTCCTCCTGTCATTACAGTTCCACAGGACCTCAGGATCATTTAACTCTGCTACTCTACACACAGGAACGGAGTGAGTTTCCCATCCTCCAGGTAACCAGTAAGAGACTGTGAAAACCACCAATCAGGGATGTTTCTTGGAGCCCCCATGTTCAGTAGGACCCCCCCCCCTGATTCCAGAACTTACCAAACACCCCAAACCCTAACACACAAGTAGCAGTGGCCCATTCCACGTTTCTCATGGTGTCTGCACTGGTGATCTGCTTACAGGTAGCCGGGTCCCCTGGGGCAGATAATTGGGAGAGGTGTTCAGGGCCTGAAGAATTTCTAGTAAATCCACCACTTTCCCAGATATTGGCACTGAGGGCCAAGACAGAGGGAGCGAAGTTCCCACGCCCTACTTTGTCTCTCTGGACCAGCTGAGGGCTGGATTTTGGGCCTTGACACCCCAAAATGTGAGCAAGGTACAAGTGCATAGAAACAAGCTATTCCTCTATCAAATTGGGAAAGACTGGCTAAAACTGGCTGTACCAGCAAGGACATTAGACACTACAGGTGCTGAGCTCCAATTCGAATGGCTCATACCAGCTCGCGGAATGCCTGGGAGATCTATGCAAATCACATGCAAATGAGACAGCGGAAGCCATGACTCTGGCCAGACTCTGAGAACTCACAGTACAGGATTTCGTAGTCTCCGGAGTTGGTGACAAAGCAACTGCTGTCCTGGGCCCAATCCAGGTGGGTGATAAAACTGGAATGACCCTGCAGGGGACATAAGGGTCACTTAGAGTAGAGGAGAGGGCTAGAACCAGGTAAGGGGATGGATTAAGTCAGGAAGGCAAAATACACAGAGAACACAGGGGACCAGAGGGAGGATACAAAGGCCTTTGAGGGTGGGGCGGGGCCACACTACCATGGGCGGGGCCAGACCGTGAGGGGCAGGGCTGACACAAGGGCTTAGTAGACAAAGGCAATTTAGAACACGTCGGCAGAGCTCCACACAGGGGGCGGGGTTTGAATGCAAGGGGCGGGGCTACACAGAGGCGTGCTTGGGATAGGAGGGGTAGGTTTAGAATGCGAGAGGTGGGTCTACAAAGGGGGCTTGGAGGGAGAGGAGTGGGGCTACACGAAGGTTTGGGGGGGGCTTGGCTTAGAACACAGGAAGGGATGAGGTTGGGGGTGGACTAGGATGCCTTGACGTGGTCAGGGCAGATCAACTGCGTTGTGAAGTTGTGGCTCCCTTGAGGTAGAAAATTAGTTAATTTTACACCCTCTGGGTGGGGTGGTGGCGCGGGCTGGGGACCACTGCCCACTCACCGAGCACTTGCCCAGGCGGCTGACCTTGCGGCCACCCTGGTCCACCGTGTACACGTACACCAAGTTGTCGTGGGAGCCCACGGCCAGGTACGCCCCGTCTGGGGAGGGGGAGGGGCTATGAGGAGGCACCCAGGCTCCGCCCCTCCTCTCCCAGACTCAGCCCCTCCTCAGCAGTCCCAGGCTCCGCCCCCCGGCAGGACAGCCCCCCCACCCCCCAGGCCTAGCTGCGTTGTCTCTAGCCCCTCCCCTCCAGTCTGCACCTCTGAGTCCTCAGTCTCCCAGGCCCTGCCTCTCCGGGGTCACAGACCTACCTGGAGAGAAAGTGACCACTGAGATCGGTTCATTGCCATCCGTGTGAATGGCCACTAGGTCATGGGTGTCCGTATCCAGCAGCAGCCACCTTTAAAAAAGAGAGGGATGAACTGACATAGTGGGGAGATAACAGCCACCCACCTCACCCCTCCATATGCAGGATTGTGAGGGCAGAGCCAGGCTACCATGGATGGACCCAGGCTGTGATGGGCAGAGGTGACCAAAAAGAAAACGAAACAACTTAGAAATGGATGGCAATTTAGAACGGGGGAGGAGCCTCACACAGGACCAGCACTGAACACAAGCGAAGGTGGATACACAGACAAGAGCTTGGAACAGAAGCAGCAGGTTTGGAAGGTGAGGGGAGGGCTATAAATGGAGGTGGGCGGTTGGAAGGGATCTGGGACTGCTGGGCATAGGTGCCTCATCATCACAGCTTTGGGCTTTCGATAGGATGAGAGGGAGAAGAGCTTGTTCTAACAGACACAAGAAGCCTTCCCCCCATTCAGCCATACCTGCCAGTTACTGTGCCCACCGCCAGCACAGAGCCACTGGGGTGGAAGCCAGCTGAGCGGGCAGGGTCCTGGGAGGAAGAAAGTGGTGGGCAAAGCTGAGACCTGGGGTACCATATCCATTTAGCCACCCCCAGCCTCAAAACCAGCTCCTAGCATGGCCTCAGGGCCTGTCTACTGGCTGTCTTCCAGACACCCCCAGAAGCCATGCCCCATTCTTGAGCATGCCAACCTGACAGAAACTTTCTCCCGCCCACTGGGGTCTTTCCTACTGGTTTTCCTCCCGCCCCTCTTTTGTTGTTGTTGCTGCTTATTTGTTTTATTTTGCTTAGGTGAGACAGGGTGTCCCTGTAGCTCCATCTGGGCTGGAACTCTATATAGACCGGCTGGATTCAATCTCACAGAGATCTCCCTGCCTCTGCCTTCCAAGTGCTGGGATTTAAGGTGATCCACCACACCTGGTTTTCCCTGTTCTTATTGACTACATATACTATAAACACATATGACACCACACTACAAAAACACTTCTTTTAAAACTGTCAAGTGTATAGTGTTATACTACAATGGCACAAATTCATATTTCACTTCAAGTTGGTTTGCTTGCAGGTCATGGCGGCCCATGCTTTTAATTCCGGCACTCAAGCTGAGGCAGGTGGATCTCTGTGAGATCAAGTTCAGCCTGATCCACAAAGGGAATTCCAGGCCAGCTGGGGCTACAGGGAGACCCAGTCTCAAAACAAACAAATAAAAACAAACAAACGGGCTGGAGAGATGGCTTAACGGTTAAGAACACTGGCTATTCTTGCAGGAGACCCTGTTTGAATCCTAGCACCTACATGGCGGCTGACAACTGTCAGTAAATTCAGTTCTAGGGGATCTGATGTCCTCTTCTATCCTGTGGGCATTGCACACACATGGTGCACTTACACACATGCAGACATAACACTCATATACAGAAAAAAATACATACATATACACATATATATGTATATGTATGTATCATCCAATTTCAGTTTGGCTCTGTGGCAGATTTTTTTTTTTTTTTTTTTTTTTTTTGAGACAGGGTCTCCCTGTAACCCCAGCTGGCCTGGAACTCACTATGTAGACCATGCTGGCCTCAAACTCAGAGATCTGCCTGCCTCTGTCTCCCACGTGCTGGGATTAAAGGCGTGTGCCACTAGGCCTCACTCTCATTGAGGAATTTTTATTTTATTTATTATTTTTATTTTTTTGTTTAGGAGTATAATACCTGCATGCATGTAAGTACACTTGTGTCATGCAGTGCCAGCAGAGGTCAGGAGAGGGTGTCAGATTCCCTGGAACTGGAGTTACAGACAGTTGTAGCCTCCATGTGGGTGCTGGGATTTGAACCTGGTCCTCTGCAGGAGCAGCCAGTGCTCTTAACAGCTGAGGAATTCTTATGACTTGGTAGTTGTATATTCCACTAATATTACACATGATGAGGAGACATCTCAAGCCAGTAGAAAATAAACCAAAGGCCGGGGAAAATACCTTCAGCTGAGCAAGGGGGTGCACATCTTTAATCCCAGCACTCGGGAGGCAGAGGCAGGCAGATCTCTGAGAGTTTAAGGCGGCCTACATAGTGAGTTCCAGGCCAGCTGGGGCTACAGGGACTACAGGGAGACCCTGTCGGAAGGAAGGAAGGGAGGGAGGGAGGGAGGAAGGAAGGAAGGAAGTTAGGAAGGAAGGAAGGAAGGAAGGAAGTTAACAAAATCATCGGAATCATGTTGAGTTTGGCAAATCTGATTATCCAACATCACTGAGTGCCCATGTGCCTAGAATTGTACTAACATGTTCAAAGTTGAATATTAATGCCTTTATCAAATATTACATTAGAGTGAGGTAAAGCACATTAAATGAATGTTAGTTCATTCAGTCGCCTGTGGTAATGTGTGATCCTGTGCCAGCTGGCTTCCGTGGGCCACATAGCAGACTTCTCCATGTGGCTCCTTGAATCATACAGAACACCTGCACATTGTGTGCTAAGCAATGCGTTGCGTTAGTCACTGCAACACCATCATTTGGTGTTCACTGAACACAAATTCATCATATTAATCTATACAGGAAAAAGCACGGGGACTGGAGAGATGGCTGAAAGGTTAAGAGCACTGGCTGCTCTTGCATAGGACCCAGGTTCAGTTCCCAGTACCCACATGGTGGCTAACAACCACTTGTAACTCCAGTTCCAGGGGATCCAACACCCTTGACTGGCCTCCACTGGTATTGCATGCACTCGGTGCACTTAAATGCACACAAAACACTCGTACACATTTAAAAAAAAAAAAAAAGACATATGGCAGACCATGCCAGCACTTGGGAGGTAGAGGGAGGAGGACAGAGTTCAAGGTCAGCTTCTGATAGTCAGTGAGTCAGAGGCCAGCTTGGGCAAAGAGTATCTGTGCTTAGCTAGTGCCCTATAGTGGCACTGGGCAGCACTCCAGGAAGACAGTCTAATACATAATTCTGCACCAGAGGAGAAAGAGTTTTATTTGTTCTTAGAATTGAATCTAGGGTTTCCTGTGTTCAGTAAGCACTCTACCACTAAGCCACACCCCAGCCCCTCACTGGAGGATTCTAGGCAGAGGCTCTACCACTGAGCCACACCCCAGCCCTTCACTGGGGGATTCTAGGCAGAGGCTCTGCCACTGAGCCACATCCCAACCCATCACTGGGGGATTCTAGGCAGGTGCTCTACCGCTGAGCCACACCCCAGCCCCTCACTGGGGGATTCTAGGCAAATATTCTACCACTGAGCTATGCCCCCAAGCCCCTCATTGGGGAATTCTAGGCAAATGTTCTACCACTGAGCCATATTTCACTGGGGGATTCTAGGCAGGTGTTCTGCCACTGAGCCATGCCCCCCAGATAAAAACTACTCTATTTTGAGTTATATCCCCAACTGTTCTCTACTCTTTGATTTGGAGTTGGTTTTTTATTTTATTTATTTATTTTTTTTGGAGACAGGGTCTCACCAAGTAGCACTGACTGGCTTGGAACTCACTAGATAGACCAGGTTAGTCTCCAACTCACAGAGATCAACTTGCCTCTACCTCCCAAGTGCTAGAATTAAAAGTGTGCATGATTATGCCAGGTTCCCAGCCCTCTACTCTTTTAGATAGGGCCTTCCTAAAGGTTAGGCTGCCCTTGAGCTCACATGCTGTGTGGTCAAAGCCAATCTTGAGCTTGCAATCCTCTGGCCTCAATCTCCTTAATCTATTATTACAGACCTTTGTCACCAGGTCTGACCAAAGGAGAACTTGGATATTCTTTGTGTGCACACTTGTGTGGGTGTGTATACATAGGGAGGCCAGAGTTTGATGTCAGGTGTCTTCTTCAATCCTTCGCCACTGGATTTTTTTAGACAATGTCTCTCACTGAACCTAGAACTTATAGACTGATCAGACTGGCTGGCCAGCAATTTCCAGGCTTCCACATGTCTCTGCCTCCCCAGTACTGGGATCACAGGTACACACCGCCATGCCTGGTTTTTACATGGGTGTTGGGGATCTGAACCCAGGCCCTCATGTTTCTGGCACAAGCACTTTAACAACTGAGTTACCTGCTCAGGCCTTGAAAGACATAGTCTTTACTGTCTCTCCCTACTATAGTAGTAATCACACATAATAACTAAGCCTCAGAAATGTGGATAGTGCATCCAAAGACCAAAGTTGAATTCTGTCTGCATTTGTGATTGACTTGACTTTGAAGAGTCATGTGGTTAAGATCAGGGACAACTGTGGCTCTGGAGAAAACAACTGCAGAGGGCTAGAGCTTCCCAGTTCCTGGGATAACCACAGAATGTTCTTTTGTTACTATTGTTATTTGTTTATATGCAGTTTTGGGAGTGGAACCCAAGGCTTCTTGCATGCTAAGAAAGCATTCTACAACTGAGCTATAGGCCCAGCCAGTCTCTTTTTATTATTATTATTAATTTTTAAATTAATTTATTTTTATTTGGTGTATACAAGTGTTCTGCTTGCATATATACAAGTACATTCATGTTGTACAATTTGCAAAGCAGTTGGAAGACCATGTTGGATCCCGTGGAACTGGATGGAGCTACAGATGATTGTTAGCTACCATGTAAGTGCTGGGAACCAAACCATGGGTCCTCTGAAAAAGCATCCAGTGCTCTTAACTGATGAGTGATCATTCAAGACCCCCCCCCACACACACCCGTTTTTGTTTTTTGTCTTTTTGAGACAGGATCTTCCCGTAGCCCCAGCTGGCCTGAATTCACTATGTAGACCAAGTTGTTCTTCAACTCAGAGGCCTTTGCCTACCTCTGTCTCCCGAGTGCTAGGATTAAAGGCCTGTGCCACCATGCCTGGCCCACCTCCCTGTTTTTCAAGACAGGGTCTCACTATGTCACTTTAGCTAGCCAAGAATTCACTCTATAGACCAGACTGACCTGGAACTCAAAGAGCCTCCTGCCTATGCCTCCTATGCCTCCTGAGTTTTGGAATTAAAGGCATTGGTCACCACATCCTTTTATTTATTTTCTTGACAGCCTGTTCTTTTTTCTTTCTTTATTTTTCGGTCTTTTTGAGACAGGATCTCCCTGTAGCCCCAGCTGGCCTGGAACTCACTATGTAGACCAGGCTGGCCTTGAACTCACAGAGATCCACCTGCCTCTGCCTCCCAAGTGCTGGGATTAAAGGCGTGTGCCACCACACCTGGCTTCTTTTTTCTTTTTTATTTTTATTTTATGTGTAAGAGTGCTTTGCCTGCATGTATGTGTACCCATGTGCAATGCCTGAGGAGACCAAAAGAGGCGTCAGATCTTCTGGAACTAGAATTACTGATGGTTGTTAGCTGCAATGTGGGTGCTGAGAATCCAGGTTCTCTTCAAGAACAGCCAGTTCTCTTAACCACTGAACAATCTCTCCAGTCCCTTGCCTGATGTTTTTGATTTTTGAGAGGTCTCCACTAGGCAGCCCAGGCTAGTCTGGAACTTTTGGCAATACTCCTGCCTGAACCTCCAGAGTACTGGGATAACAAGTGTGCATCAACATCCCAGGCTCAGTCATGTTCCTAAATTTAATGACTTAAAAACTATATTGTTTACCAGGTATGGTGATACATGCCTTCAATCTCAGCACTCAGGAGGCAGAGACAGGCAGATCTCTGTAAGTTCAAGGACAGCCTGGTCTACACAGTGAGTTCTAGGCCAGCTGCAGCTACAGGGAGACCCTTTCTCAAAAACCAAAAATAAACAAACAAAATTATTTGTGTATGTACATGATATGTGTGTGGAGGGTTGGGTCATGCATGCATGCCCAGTGTGCACAAGGAGGTCAGAGAAGAACTTTGTAGTGTTGATTTCCAGGGATTGAACTCAGGTCACCAGGCTTGCACAGCAAGTGATTCTACCCACTGAGCCATATTGTTGGCCCAATATTATTCCTTTGTTTTTTGAGACAGGGTCTCGTGTAGTTCAGGCTGGCCTTAAACTCTTTATGTAGCCCAGGATGACCTTAAATTCCTGATCCTCCTGCTTCTATCTCCCAAGTGCTGGGATTAAAGGCTAGATTCAATAATGCTTAACTCCTCCTGACTGGCTGAGGCTGTTCTGAAGGGTGGGTTCCCTAGTGCTGTTCTGGGCTTCATTCCATCAAGACCCCACTGATCCAGCTTCTCTGAAGGAGCCTATGAACAACAAATTCCTATATGAGATATTCTTCTATTTTGTGTGTGTGTGTGTATATGTGTGTGTTGCATGTGTAAAGACTGGACAACTTGGAGTTTGTTCTTGCCTTCCAACATGTGGGTTCTGGGGACTGAACTCAGGTCATCAGGCTTTGTGGCAAGCACCTTTACCCACTGATTCATCTCACAGGCCCAAGATACCGTTCCCCCTGCTGTGCCAGGCCCTGAGGCGTGGAACATGGCAGTTCTGCAGACAGTATGGCTGCAGCCCTGGCCCCTCACCTCAATGGTCCTGCTCCACAGGGGCTGGTGGCTCTCTGAACTCCACAGATGCACCACCTTATCCTGCCCGCAGGTCACAAACTGTGCCCGGCTGGGGTGCGTGGCCAGGCCCCAGAGCTCTTCCACATGGCCCTGTGGGAAAGAAGGCAGACGGTGGGAAGGAGGCAGAGATGTTGGTCCATTCCTCAGCCAGCCCTCATGCCAGAAAGAAATTCCAGACCAGCCCCAGCAGCCCACACTGCCTACTGCAACCCACCAAATCCTTTCCCCAGCAGGATTCTCCTGGGATGGGTTAACCCTGGCCACAGTGTGACTTGAAGTAAATCCAGTCCCTTCTCCTACGTCCTCTGCTTTCTTCTTTGCAGGGTGAGAGGGTAGAGAAGGTGGTGGCTCCAAACTTGACCTCAGGAACCACACAGGTTGCATCCACCCCAGCCATACACCTTCCAGGCTCTAGTTCTAAGGATCCAGGAAAGGCCTAGAAGGCTTTGCCTTGAGTCATAGAGCCAAGAAGTCTAGGGTCAAATGGAGGGCCCTCAACTCCCCTACCAGTGGTGGGAGCCAGTTACCCAGGCAACTAACTTTGCCTTAGAACCTTAGTGTTTTGCTTATGAATGTATGTTTGTGGGGGGTGGAGGGAGGAGCCAGAAGTTAATGCTGGATGTTTCCTTTGTTTTGCTTTCTCTTTTTAAAAATATTTCATTTGGCCAGGCATGGTGGCGCACACCTTTAATCCTAGCACTCTGGAGGCAGAGGCAGGCAGATCTCTGTGAGTTCAAGGCCAGCCTGGTCTACATAGTAAGTTCCAGGACAGCTGGGGCTACAGGGAGACCCTGTCTCAAAAAGACCCCCCAAAAAATTTATTTTTATTTTATGTGTATGAGTATCTTGCCTGCATGTATATAAGTACAGTTGTACAATGCCTGCAGAGGACAGAAGAGGGCATTGGATACCCTGGAACTGGAGTTACAGATGATTGTTAGCCGCCATGTAGTGCTGGGAATCAAACCTGGGTCCTCTGCAAGAGCAGTCAGTTCTTTTAATACTGAGCCATCTTTCCAGCCTCCCCCGCTCACCCTTTTTTTTTCTTTTTGAGTCAGGGTCTCACTATGTAGCCTTGGCTGATCTCAAACTTGCTAGTTAGACCAGACCGGCCTCAAACTCACGGAGATTCACCTCCCTCTGCCTCCCAAGAGGTGGGATTAAAGTTGTGAACCCCCACACCTGGCATTCTCTCTCTTTCTTATTTATTTATTTATTTGGGGGAACATATGCCAAAGTGCATGTGTGTGGAAGTCAGTGTGTAACTTGTACAGAGGACTTGTAGAAGTTGGTTTTCCTTCCATGTGGGTTTCAGGGATCAAACTCACATCGTCAGGCTTGGAGGCAAGCACCTTTATCCACTGACACATCTTGCTGGACGCTGACCTCTTATTTTTTGAGACAGGGTCTCTCAGTAAACACATACCACAGCAATTTGGTAGACTAGTTGGTCAGCAAGCCCCAAGGATCAGCCCATTTCCATCTTACAGGCACACTACCATGCCACACTTTTTTATGTGGGTTCTGAGGGATCAAACTCAGGCCCTCATGTTTGCACAGCATATACTTTACTGACTGAGCTGTCTCCCTAGCCCTGTTTGTTGTTGAGACAGGGCCTTCCTATGTAGGCCAGGCTGAGCTGAAACTTGTGCCTCAACCTCCTGAGTGCTGGAATTACAGGTATGTGCCATCATGCCCAGTTTGGGGCTTCAGGTTTGATTTGTTTGTTTGGGGACAGAGTCTCCCTGTAACCCCAGCTAACCTGGAACTTGCTATGTAGACCAGGCTGGCCTTGAACTCAGAGATCTGCCTGCCTCTGCCTCCTGAGTGCTGGGATTAAAGGCATGCACCATCATGCCCAGCTGGAGCCTCAGTTTTATCTTCTCTAAAATGGGGTCAAATGAGGCTGGAGAGATGGCTCAGCAATTAAGAGTATTGGCTGCTCTTGCAGAGGAGCCAGGTTTCATTCCCAGCACCCACATTGCAGCTAACAACCTCCTGTCTCTCTATTTCCAGGGGATCAAACACCTTCTTCTGACCTCCACAGGCATTACATGCATGGGTGCACTTATATACATGCAGACAAAATACTCAAACACATAAATAAAATTTAAAATGGGGCTAATTACCCCATGTGTCTTAGAGCACTGCTGAACTCCTTCAGAACATTGATGGAAGGTGCTGAACACGGGCTGGGTGCGGGTACATACTTATAATAATTCTATCACTCAGAAGGTAGAGGCAGAGGGTCAGGAGTTCAAAGTCATCCATCATAGATAGTAAGTTCAAGGCCAGCTTGTGCCACATGAGACCTTATCTCAAAGACAAAAAACAAAGGAATAGGGATATTGATCAGGGGCAGAGCATCTGCCTAGAATCCCCCAGTGAAGGGCTGGGGGCATGGCTCAGTGGTAGAGCACCTACCTAGAACCCCCCCAGTGAGGGGCTGGGGTGTGGCTCAGTGGTAGAGCATCTACCTAGAATTACCCCAGTAAGGGGCTGGGGGCATGGCTCAGTGGTAGAGCATTGGCCTAGAAACCCAAGTGAGGGGCTGGGATGTGGCTCAGTGGTAGAGCACCTGCCAAGAATCCCTCAGTGAGGGGCTAAGGACGTGCCTCAGTGGTAGAGCCCCTACCTAGAATTCCCCCAGTGAGGGGCTGGGGGCATGGCTCAGTGGTAGAGCATTGGCCTAGAAACCCAAGTGAGGGGCTGGGATGTGGCTCAGTGGTAGAGCACCTGCCAAGAATCCCTCAGTGAGGGGCTAAGGACGTGCCTCAGTGGTAGAGCCCCTGCCAAGAATCCCTCAGTGAGGGGCTAAGGACGTGCCTCAGTGGTAGAGCCCCTACCTAGAATTCCCCAGTGAGGGGCTGGGGGCATGGCTCAGTGGTAGAGCATTGGCCTAGAATCCCCTCAGTGAGGGGCTAAGGACATGGCTCAGTGGTAGAAGACCTCCCTAGAATCCCCAGTGAGGGGCTGAGAAAGTGCCTCAGTGGGAGAGTATTTGCCTAGCATGTAAGGGGCCCTGGTTTCAAGTTCCAGCATTTTACAAAAAAAAAAGAATAGAAAGTGGCAACACAAGTCTGGAAGAATACTCTGAGGAAATGCCTAACTGACCAACAGTTACTAACTCCAGAAAATATCAGTATATTATCAGTTAATAACTGCATAATAACTGCAGTCCTATCATGGCAATAATTGATACTATTATTATATGTTATGATAATATATAGTCAATATTCATATAGTTATAATATTTACTATATTAACATGTATTAGTAATATAATAAATAATACAGCCAGACTTATATAAGGCTGGGTGTGGTGGCACATGACTTTAATCCTAGCACTTAGGTAACAAGAGGCAGTCAAATGTCTGTTAGTTTGAGGCCAGCCTGGTCTACATCATGAGTTCTAGGCCAGCAAGGGCTATATAATGAGAGATCCTGTCTGAAAACAAAAACGAAAACAATTTTAAAATACTAATAAAATATTCATAGAATTTGCTAAGGTCCCTTCTTGCTTCAGGATACCTAGAAAATCCTGCTACACAAGTCAGATATAGTGGCACACATCTATAATTCCAGTACTTGGGAGGCTGGAGGACTGCCATAAGTTCAAGGCTACGTTGGGCTACAAAATAAGTACCAGGCCTGCCATGGATACATGATAGTTACATGGTGAGAAAAGAAAAGAAAGAGAAGTAGAGGAGAAAGAGGAAGAGGAAGAGGAGGAGGAAGAGGAAGAGGAGGAAGAAAAGGTAATGAAAATCAGGCCCACCCCAGGAACATTTTCCCAGATCCTTGGAGTTGGGGCCCTGGAAGGTGTAGGACCTGTGGGAAAATGCCAGGATACTTACCAACCAGACAGAAGGATGCTATCCCCAATCAGAACAGCAGGAGGCAACATGCTTGGGGGCAGGGGGGCTGGGGACTCACTTTAGCAGGCAGGTAACCCTTCTGAGGAGTCCTGAGCCAGGGCATAGTGAGGCAGGAACAGGTGAAGGGAAGTGATGTGGGGTTTCCCAGGTCAGGGGAAAAGGGATGGGGCAGGGAGGTAAGGAGAGATAGGAGTGGGAAGAAATGGAGGACCATGTGGTGATAGTGATGATGGTGGTGCTGGTGCTGGTGATGATGGTGATGGCGATCATAGTGATAGGGATGATGGTGGTGCTGGAGATGGTGATGATGATGACAGGCATATTTAGGGTGGGAACAGAGCTGCAGAGTTTCTCACCTGGACAAGCAGCACGAAACCCGTGTGCACTGACCCAAGCAGGATGGAGTTGCGAGTAGTCCCCACGTACAGTGTATCTCCCTGTCCCTCTGCCACAGTACGTACTGGACCAAAGTCCTCAGGGACCTGAGTGGCAGAGACATGTGTAGGACACACATGGGTTGGGGAGTGGGATGATGAATAGCTGGGAAGGTCCATCCCTGGTAGGATGAGGGCCTTGCCACACTCCCAGGAGCCCATCTCCCATCCTCACCTCCACTTCCTGCAGCTTGCTGTAGTCGGAACCCCAGAGGACCACCCGCCGGTCTCGGCCTCCTCCAGATACCAGTGTCCCATCCCGCAGGGCGCAGAGCCCAAACACGCCACCGTCATGGGCACCCAGTACTGCCTGGGTGATGCGGTTCCCACCTGTATGTAGCCAAGGGTAGGGTCAGCACAGGAAGACTGCTCCTGTACTGAGCACCTTGAAGCCTACATCCATCTGCTTACTCATCTTTCTATGGTCCCTCCACCCACCATCTGCCCACCATCCATGGACTCAAGTGCCTTATCATCCATCCCCTGAATCATCTGAACTTACACCTACCCATCCATCCTTTGATTCATCCACCCACATACCTCCCCATGGCTTTTTCCACTCACCTATCTACTGGTCCGTCCATCTATCCATCTACCCACTCACTCACTCATCTCTTCACTGATCCAAATTCTTCCTTCCTTCCTTCCTTCCTTCCTTCCTTCCTTCCTTCCTTCCTAATCCCATTCATTCATCTACTTATTTATCTGCTGATTTATCAATCCACCTATCAGCTCTCATCCATCCATCCACTCATCTATCAGTCTATCAATCCATCTATTCACCCTTTTCTATCCATCCATCCATTTATCTCTCTGCTGATCCAGCGATCAATAAATCCTTCATTCCTTCCACCTCCCATCTATTCATCTACTCATCTGTTTACTGATCCATCAATCCATCCATCCATCTGCTCACTCACTCATTCAATTCATCCACTCTTCATTTTATCGATCTGCCTCTCATCCATTCATCTACCCATCTGTTAATCCAACGATCAATCTTTCCTTCCAACAATCTCCCATCCATTCATCTACTCATTTATCTGTGATCCATTAATCCATCCATATACCCACTGACCCATTTATTAATCCATTTATCTATTCATCCATCCACCTACCCATTGACCTATCCATCCGTCTCTCATCCATCCATTCACCTACCCACTCACCCATCCATCAATTCATCTCTCACCCATCTATCCATCCACCTACCCACTCACCCATCCATCCATCAATCTCTCATCCACCCATCCATCTACCTACCCACTCGCCCATCCATCCATCTCTCATTCATCCATCCATCTATCCATCCACCTACCTACCTACTCACCCATCCATCTCTCATCCATCCATCCATCCATCCATCATCCATCCATCCATCAATCCACCTATCAACTCACCCATCCATCCATCCATCTACCCATTTCTCATCCATTCATCCACCTATCCATCTACTGATCTATCAGTCCATCCATCCACCCCATCTTCTATCTGCTCACCCATTAATCTACTTCCCACCCATTCATTCACACTTCTATCTATTGATCCAACAATTCATCCACCCTTCAATTGATTCATTTACTTCCTCTTTCATCAAACTGCCCAACAGTCTGTTGTTCCTTCCATTTAAACATCCACCTACCCATTCGCTATCTATGCACCCATCTATCCACCCATCCTTTCATTCATCCATTCACCCATTCAATCCACAACTGTTCAGCTAGCTACTATGGGCTGAGTTTGGTCCCCAGAATCCACATGATAGAAGGACAGAATCAATCAACTTCCTCAAGTTGTCCTCTGACCTCAGCATGTGTGCTGTGGCATACACACACACACACACACACACACACACACATTCTCCCTCTCTCTCTCTCTATCACCAAATAAATAAATGTAATAAAATTTTTTAAAAAAGAATTTACCCTACAATGACATTTATTCCATGTGAGCAGGCACAGCCAAGGGTATTTGAGAAGACAGGGTTGGAGTCCTAACAGATGAGGTGACACTACTAACCTTTGCCCCAGACATAGAGGTTCCCCCCAGAGTCTCCAGTGACGACATCACCACCTTCCAAGAAGGTCACACACAGCACATACTTTGGTTTCTCATGTTTCTAAAGTACAGGAAGAAGGGAAAATGTCAGAGTCCTGAAACACAGTGGTCTTGTGGAGGTTGCCTGCATCCAGGGCTGTGGTCTGGGGGAACTCCTGTGCTGTGGTGTGGGAGACCCCACATGGAATATCTGCTTTCCCCCACTGCCTCCCACCTGGAGTGCTCAGATGGCCTGGAGGCTCTGAGCACACTGTCACCCTTGCCCTCCCTGGGGCGGACTCCTTGCCTCCCCTCTGTCCCCCAACTTTGCTCTGTCTGCACTTTGCCCTGCACATTCTCCCCCCTTGCTTTCTGAACCCGCCTAGTGTTTCTGGGGCTGGAAAGATCTCCATCTGTGCCTTGTATGTCCTTAGCGCCTCTCTTTGGAGCAGGCGACAATGGGGAGCCCTCGCCAAACATCCCTGCATCTCCCCTCCTAGTCCTACATCTGCTCAGATTCTTTGTGTGTGCATGTATGCTCATGCACGTGCATACATGTAGAGGCCAGAGGGCAACCTGGGCTGTGATTCTTCAGGAAACATCTATCTACCTTGTTTTAAAGACACAGGGATGTGGGGTTCACCAAATAGACTAAGCTGGCTGATCTTCTGCCTCTAGTGCTGGGATTAGAAACACACACCACTACACCCAGCTCTGTGTGTATGTATGAGTTCATACACCACTACATTCAGCTTGTGTGTGTCCTGATTCTATGCATATGAGTTCATACACCACTACACCTGACATGTGTGTGTCCTGATTGTATGCGTATGAGTTCACACAACACTACACCCAGCTTTGTATGTGTGTGTGTGTGGCCTGACTGTGTGCATATGAGTTCACACACCACTACACCCAGCTTGTGTGTGTGTGTGTGTGTGTTTGTGTGTGGCCTGAGTGTATACATATGAGTTCACATACCACTACACCCAGCTTGTGTGTGTGTGTGTGTGTGTGTGTGTGGCCTGAGTGTGTATGAGTTCATACACCACTATACCCAGCATGTATGTGTGTGTATGTGGCCTGAGTGTATGCATATGAGTTCACAGGTGTGTGGGGGTACACATGCACATACAGCGGCCAGAAGTTGACATTGTCTTTTCTCAGTTGCTCTCCCCTTTACTGAGGCAGGGTCCCTCCCAGAACCTGGAGTCCGCTGAGTTAGCTAGTCCAGCTAGCCAGTTGGCCCGGCTCTCCCTTGTTTCTCCTTCCCAAGCACCAGGTTTACAGGTGAACACTGGGATCACAGGTAGGGTGGGCTGCCAAACCTGCCTGGCCTTCATTATGTGGGTGCTAGGGAAATGGAACCTTGATCCTTAATGCTAATCCAACATCTCTCCAGTACCCACACCTAGCTTTTTTTTTTTTTTTTTTTTTAACTTTTCTTTCTCTCTTTCCTTTTTTTTTGTCTTTTTGAAGCAGGGTTTCCCTGTAGCCCTAGCTGTCCTGGAACTCACTAGGTAGACTAGGCCGGCCTTGAACTCACAGAGATCCACCTGCCTCTGCCTCCCAAGTGCTGGGACTACAGGTATGCACCACCATGCCCAGCTTTTTTTTTTTTTTTAAGACGGTCTCAGTACATAGCCTGGCTGGCCTGAAACTCCCTATATAGAACAGGCTGGACTTGAAATCACAGAGGTCCTCTTGCCTCTGCCTCCTAAGTGCTGGGATTAAAGGTGTGCACCATGGCACCTGGCCACTCCAGGCCCCTCATGCTTATACAGCAAGCACTTTACCTACTGAACTCTATCTCCCTTGGCTCTGCTGCTCGATGATGATGATGATGATGATGATGATTATTGTCTTTTTGAGACAACTATAGCCCCAGTTGGCCTGGAACTCACTAAGTAGACCAGTTGGTCTTGATCTTACAGAAATGTGCCTGCCTCTGCCTCTTCAGTGCTGGGATTAAAGACACATGCCACTTCGTCCAGTTCTCCTGCCCAGATTCTGATTCAGCTTATCAGTTGCAGCCAGCCTCTGGCCTCTGTGATTCCCACATCTCTGCCCACAGCATCATTCATTGGGAATTTGGCATCTACTGGGAGCTGCTGTTATTCCTCCCACTTCAGAGTTCAGGAGGCGTCTCCCTAGATAGGATGTGCAGGTAGTAGCCCATCCTCCCCACACTGCCGAGCCCTGAGGCCAAGCGTCTCTGCCTGCCCATACCCAATACCCATAGCTCTCACCTCAAACAGGCCCTGCCGCTTACTCAGGCTGCCTCCCTCCAGACTCCAGAAGTAGATGTGGGATTTCCCGCAGGTGATCAGCAGAGTGGGGTCGGTGGGGTGGAAGGTAGCCACCAGCACAGCCTCAGTGGAGCACTGCAGGAGGCGTCAGGAGAGACCAGATGAGGAATTCTCAAAGCCACCAGGAACTACCATTCTATACCCTACAGATCCCACACAGGACCATCCTGTACAGCTGTGGGGGTTGTGCACTGGACAGCCAACTTGCCAGGACCTTCCCAATCACACACTGCTGAGCACTTATAAAACCCATTAACTGATTTAAGCCTCATTGTCCCAGGAGATAAGCCCCATTGGTATCTTCAATTATAGACCAGGTTCATAGAAGGCAAACTACTTGCATAAGGCCACACAGCTATATTTTGATCCAGCTCAGTCTCTATCTCTCCACCCTTTCCTAAACAGAGAGCCCAGACCTAGATTGAGGTTTCCTGGCCTCAGCCCAGGCAAGTGATCTTAGGCAGTATCTTATCTTCCTACCTTACCTTCTCCACCCCCCCACCCCCTTTTCTCTCTCTTGCTTTCTTGAAGCAGGGTAGCTCAGATTAGACTCAAATTCAGGATCCACTTTGCTCAGCTCCCTACCATGCTCTGGGATCACAGTTGTACAACATCACACAACCCTTGCACTGAGCCCCGTCTACCCATACGACATCTCAACTCTCCTACCTCCCAAGAGGAGGACATCACCACGAGCCTCATTTTCCATTGCTGAGGCAACTGAGGCTCAGAAAGGGGAAGCCATTCACATAAAGTCACATAGCAGATGACACCAGAGCCAAGACTTAAATGTGAGTCTGGCTGCAGACCCCCTAACCAAGAGACGCAGCAAGTTCTTCAGGGCCAACACAGGGAGGGAAGGAGAGCTGCCAGGTCGCCCCACCTTGCAATCTACCACCTTGGTCTCCTTGGCCCAGTCCCACACGGAAAGCACATGATCGTTGGATTCATCGACTGCACACAGCAAGTTGCCCCCATTCTGAGAGAGACAGAGAAAGTTAGAGTTAGAAAACATTTCTCTATGTCCCACTCTTGACATAGTCTAGAATCACCTGGGAAGGGAATCTCAATGAGTGATTGTCTAGATTTGGTTGGCCTGTGGGCATGACTGGGGAGAAGTGTCTTGATGACACTGAGCTGGGAAGACCTGCCCAATGTGGGTGGCACCATTCCCTAGGCAGGGGATCTGGAACTGCTTAAGAGCAGGGAAAGAAAGCACTAGCATGTTTCATTCACTGCCCCTTGCTCCTGACTGTGGAGGGAATGCCACTAGCTACTTCAGATCCCTGCTGTCCTGACCTCCCCCAAATGATGGACTGTAACCTGGAATTGAGCCAAATAGGCCCCTTTCTCCCCTTAAGTTGCTTCTGTCAGCGTTTTTGTTTTTTTTCTTTGGTCTTTTGAGACAGGGTCTCCCTGTAGCCCCAGCTGGCCTGGAACTCACTAGACCAGACTAGACTAGACTAGACTAGACTAGACTAGACCAGACTAGACTCGAACTCACAGAGATCGCTTGCCTCTGCCTTCTGAGTGCTGGGATTAAAAGTATGCACCACCATGCTGAACAAAAAAATTTATTCTTATGTCTATGAGTGTTATGCCTGCATGTATGTGAGTACACTCATGTCATGAAGTGCCCACTGAGGACAGGTGAGAGTGTTGGATCCCCTGGAACTGGAGTTAAGGACAGCTGTTAGCTGCCATCTGGGTCCTAGGAACCAAACCCAAGTCTTCTGCAAGAGTGCTCTTAACCACTGAGCCATCTCTCCAGCCCCGTGGGTGGTTTTTTTGTTTTTAAATATTTATTTTTAAATTTCATGTGTATGTTTGCCTGTATGTATATATGTGCACCATCTATGTGAAAAGGCCAAAAGATGGTGCCGAATCCTCTGAAACTGGAGTTAGAGATAGTTATTAGTGACTGTGTAGGTGCTGGGAACCAAACTCAGGTCCTCTGCAAAAGCAGCCAGTGCTCTTAACCCCTGAGCCATTTCTCCAGTCCCAATAAATCATTAAATGTTTAAAAAAGTGTTTTTAAGTACTCACATTGCCCAAGCTGGTCTTGGAACTTTCCGTTGTCTAACCTCAGCCTTCTTAGTAGTGGGGAGTACCGGCAGGCACTACATGACTTTCCCCTTAAAGACTTTAATAATTTGCCTTTCCCAATGACTCATCCCTAAGAAACTCAGCTACTCTGTCCTTACCTGGGACTACTCCGCAGCAGACTTGGCAAGTCCTCTGCCATTGGGCCACACCCACCAGTCCTGGAATGACTTTACGTACATGAATCCAGCCATTATTAAAGTTGATCAGGGTGAGGGGTGGGGGGTTAGGCCTGATGAGATGCCTCAGAGGTTAAAGGCGCCTGTCAGCAAGCCTGACCACCTGAGTTCTGTTCTGTTCCTGAGACCCACACAGTGAAAGGAAAGCAGTGACTCCTGCAAGTTGTCCTCTGACCTCCACACAAATGCTGTGGCATGTGCACACACACACACACACACACAGGTGCATGACTGATAAATAAATAAATAAATAAATAAATAAATAAATAGATAAATGTAAAAAGATATTATAGCTGGGCATGGTGGCACATGCCTTTAATTTCAGCACTCAAGAGGCAGAGGCAGGTGAATTTCTGTGAGACCAGGCTGAATGGTGAAACCCTGTCTCCAAAAACAGGGGCTGGGGCTGAAGAGATGACTCAGTAGTTAAGAGCACTGTCTGTTCTTCCAGAGAAACCAAGTTCAGCTCTCAGGACCCACATGACAGCTAACTACCATCCATAACTCCACTTGTAGGAGACCCAACGTCCTCTTCTGGTTTCTGGGGGTATGGTATGAATGTGATACATTCACATACATGCAGGCAAAACACTCACATATACACACTAAATAATAAATAAATAAAATAAATAAATAAATAATAAATAAATAGCACTCTGAACCACTGAGCCATCTCTCTACCCCCCCCCCCGTTTTTTTTAAAGCAGAGTCTCATGTAGCTCAGATTATGTTGTGCTGGTGATGGAATGCAGGACTTCCTGCATTCTAAGCAAGAACTCTACCAACTGAGCTACATTTCCAGCCTTCAGTGTTTTCCCTTCCCTTCCTCCCCTTTTGTTTTGAGACAAGGTCTTACTATGTAGCTCTGACTGGCCTAGAACTCACTAGGTAGACCAGGCTGGCCTTGAACACAGATCCATCAGCCTCTGCCTCTGGTTTGTGTTTTTGAGACAAAGTCCCATGTAGGAAAGGTTGACCTCAAACACCTGATTCTCCTGCTTCCAACCTCCCGAAGACCGGGCTCACAGGTATGCCCACCATGCCCAAGCTCAGTGTTTCGTAATCTATCTTTGTGGAGTACAAGCTATCTTTTGCTCCCCAATCCACTGCATACCAACACTTTTAAACAAAACCCCAACTGAAAAAAATAATCCATCCATCATGGTCATTTGCAGCAACATCAACTTATTCCACAAATTCCACAAGGATTACTTTAGCGTTTGTGCTTATCTAGGGTTTGGGTTGGACACAAGGCACTAGGTACTGGGCTTGAAATGCCAGGGGAGATAAGGAATTTTCTAGACTGCATAGGTAAAAAAACAACAAAAAAAGAAGGGCACGGTGTGCCCTGTGCTGTAATGGATAACCCCACATGGCTGTGAGGCTCCAGGGCCAGGAATTCTAAGGGGGCATGGCTCCACTGTCATCTTGAGGCACAGCCCCCATCCTAGTAGGTACTTTCTGAAGGGATTGTGCCAGGCTAGGCTAAAGACTTACCGATTTAGAGAAACCCACGCAGCACACAGCTCGGTCAAACACCCCAAGGCCCAGAACATGTAAGGTGGAGAGGGAAACGGAGTCCCAGACTCGCACGTGGGGAGGCAGCGGCTGCAGAAAAGAGGTGGGGGGGTGCATTATCTGGGAGGGGGTCCCGCTTCCATCAAGCCCCTTTAAGCAGCCTCACAGCCTTACCTTGCCCTCCTTTGTGGTGCCTGCTACCTGTCCCGTGGCAATGGTGACCATATCTGGGTGGACAGCCAGACTGTGGAGACAGAGAATGAACAGGGCTCAGCTGGGGGAGGGGTTTGCAGGGACCAAGGACACTTCCTTAGCAGCTGGATTCATAATTGCCTGTCATTCATTCCACAAACTGGCCAATGGAGTTATTTACACAGTAAACATGAATTGGGGGTTCATGGAAGGCTCGCGAGATGGCTCAGTGGTTAAGAACACTTATTGCTTTTGCAGAAGACCTTGGTTCAGTTCCCAGCACCCACATGGTGACTCACAACTATCGCTGTAATTCCAATTCCAGGAGATCCAACCAATGCAGGCTCCAGTATGCATGTGGAGCACATACATACACTCAAGCAATACACGTAAGAATGATAAATGTGGAACTGGAGAGATGGCTCATTGGTTAAAAGTGCCAGCTGCTCTTGCAGAGGACCCAGGTTCAGTGCCCAGCATTCAGGTGGGTGCTAACAACCATCTGTAACTCCGATTCTAGGGAATCTGACACCCTCTTCTGGCCACCACCAGCATTGCATACACATGGTGCATTTACTTGCAGGCAAAAAACTCATACACATAAAATTAAACAAATTTGGGCTGGAAAGATAGCTCAATGGTTAAGAGCATGGCTGCTCTTGCAGAGGACCTGGGTTCAGTTCCCAGCACTCACATGGCAGCTAACTATTGTCAATAATTCTAGTTCCAGGGGATTTGATGCCTTCTGGCCTCCAAGGGCATTGCACTCACATGTTGTGCTGACATACATTCAGGCAAAGCATCCATACATATAAAACAAAAATAAATTTTAAAAATTAAAAATAAGCTAGGTGTGGTGGCACACACTTTTAATCCCAGCACTTGACAGGCAGAGGCAGGTGGATCTCTGTGAGTTTGAGGCCAGCCTGGTCTACATAGTGAGTTCCAGGCCAACTGGGGCTACAGGGAGACCCCGCCTCAAAAACACACACACAAAAAAAATTAAAAATAAAGCTGGGCATGGTGATTCAGGTCTTTAATCCCAGCACTTGGCAGGAGGATCTCTGGGAGTTGAAGTCCAGCCTGGTCTACATAGTGAGTTCCAGGACATCTGGGGCTACAGGG